GTCACGGGCGCCGCCGTTCTGAAAGAACTTTGGGTCCATATCACAAGAGCGAATGACATTTTAGCGAACGGTGACATTTGAGCGAATGGTCGTTTTAGCGAATAACGGGGGGCGCGCGTTAACCCATCCGTCGCGCTGCGCTTTACGCCGCTTCGCGGCGACAGAACTCATTACAAAAATATGAACTCGCTTGGCCCACCCGAAAACGCCGCTTCGCGGCGTCCGACTATTCGCTAAAGTGTCGTTCGATGAAACGTGGGCGTTCGCTAAAACGTCATTCGATCAAGTGAGTGCCTCCCGTACAGCACACTGGCTGAACATGTGGAGAATATAATTAGAAAATGGAAAAGAAATGCATCTATTGTGAAGCTCAAGGCACTATGGAAATATAATGGGAGGCACTCACTTGATCGAATGACGTTTCAGCAAACGCCCACGTTTCACCGAATGACACTTTAGCGAATAGTCAAACGCCGCAAAGCGGCGTTTTCGGGTGGGCCAATCGATATGAAGTGGTCAGAGGTATATGGAAAGGAGTGATGGTACCAAGAGCTGTCTTTTGGCAATGGGGTACGTACTGTGCATGAAATTGGAGGTTCAATCAGGATTAGAAATTCGACAAAGAAGCGAGGCAGGTTGGCACTGGGAGCACATGGAAAGACATCAAATGAGGGAGTACAGGGGTACATGGGCTGGTTGTCTTTTGAGAGCAGAGGCAATTAGTAGATTGAAATTTGAACAAAGGATGACCGAAATGGATGATACGTGGTAGGCACGGAAGGTATTTAAGTATTTATACATGCAAAAGTTTAAACACAAAATTGACAAACAGAACCGGAAAGTTTATACAGTTAAATACCTACACACTAGCAATGGGGCTGAGCAGACTACATCAGTAGAAAAGGGAGTGAAAGAGGCAGAAAGGAAAACGGGAGGGAAGAATGCAGGCAAAATCGGCTCTAACAGTGTACAGGTCACAAAAACAGGACACAAGAAAGGAAAGTATGTTTCACAATTCACTGGGAAGTTCTTTGCCGTTCGAGGCGAGAACGGGAGTTTTGAGGACGAGGACGTATAGGGCTAAATTTCAGGAGACGGACACATTATGTGCTGCCTGCCACAATGAGGGCGAGACACTACAGTACTTCCAAACAAAGGCAGACAAGTTTTAATTGCCTTGAGGACAATTCTACTGACTAAGAAAATGAGCAGACATTTGAAATCAGCACAAAAAGCTGAACAACCTAGTGCAGTTTCATTGGATTTGGTCATAAGAAAAAACAAAAGCTCCAAGATCCCCCTTAACGAACCTGGACACTTGTCCAGGTTCGTTCAGTAGAGGTCAGTAATGTACTTCTGGGCCATGACAAAAGCCACTGTTCTGGTTTCCAGTTCAGGCCATAGTATTTGTGCTTCTTGGATAGATAGGGGGTTGTGTCTTCATAACAGCGAGAGTGACGAGCGTGTCCAGGAACTTGGCTATTTCAAAGTACCGCTGTTTATTGAAGCAACACTTGTTTGCAAGATTTGTCATGGGGCAGTCATTGATACCAATCACTAGGGTGCCAATGCCAAATGCCGCAGCAGAAATATTGTTCGGTACCGGTGATCTAGCTTTTTAAAGCATGTTTTTGTCCAAACTTTTTTTTTTTTTTTTAAATTGGGAACATGGTAAAATTAAACTCAGAATTTCGGCGAATTGAAAGTCTTAACAAAAATAAACTATGACAGCGAAAAATAAACTCCTAAAAACACCCTCTGAATTTCCTGAAAAAACAAACATGGCATCATCGTCTCAAGTTACTTTACACAATGACCTCGGGCAACACCATGACATTGCGTGACACAACGAGGTCACATGACACTGTGTCACTACGACATCAGTGTAACACGACACTGTGGCAGCTTTATACAGGGTGTCTGTAGAAACGCCGGCCACATCGTTCCTGTGTCAACTATGCATCACACACAAAAGTTGATGCCTTTGGGGTCTGTGCCAAGGGGCCCATTAAGGAAAACTATTAGCATTCAGTATAATGGGTAATTAATTACTTTTCAGTAATTAATATTTTAATTATTAATTTTAAAGGCATGGTAGTAATTAGAAACTTGCCGGGCATCATCGAAAACTACCAAATCTACCCGCATTACATTGATATAAGGCACCCGCAGCATTTTGCAGCGTTCTGAAGAAATGCTCAATTTGGACGCTTTTCTAGGTTTCAGTTTTTTATCGGAGCACATCTGCGTGCCAACAATCCCACTCCCCGTGGCCAAAACGTGCAACATATGTGTGCCCCCATGCATCGCACGTAGAAGAGGCTAGAAAGAAAGCTTCCAAATTGCCTCGAGGATTGCCTTTTTGACGTTGGTGCCAGTGTGAAGACTCATCTCTACGTGCGATGTGTGGCAGCACATGCACATTGCACATTTTGGCCACAAGGAGGCAGGGTTGCTGGCGCAGAGATGCGCTTTAATAAGAAACCAAAACCAAGAGACTCATCCAAACTGAGCAATTTTTCGGAATGCCGTAAAATGCTGCACATAGTAGTTTTGGATGGTTGGCATCAAGTTTCTAACTGAAGCCCTACCTTTAAAGTTAATATTTAAAAACTTTATTACTAAAAAGTAATTAATTACAAAATTATACTGAACACTAATAATTTTCCTTACTGGGCTCTTTGGCACCAGCCCACTACAGCATCAACCTATCTTCTATGCGATGTTTAGTTTCGGAAGAACTATTTGACCCAAGTTTCCAGGAACACCTTGTATATTCACGAAATTCCAGTGTGCCCGCCCTTCAAAGGCCTCCTGACTGTGCCTGCAAAAGGAGTGCAAAGAGACCCTATAAATGCTATGCATTTAGAATGCCTTTGGGAAATGCCAGAGTCATTTTTTAAAGTGGCTACATCCAAAAAACTTTTTCTAAGCGAAAAACTGCTTCTTTCCTTTAAGTTGACTGGGCAGCGAAGGCAACAGGCATGAGCTAGCCTGCATTCCTTGCTTTGAAACGCCTTTCTAGTGCAAACGCTTGTTCCATGAAAGCATGCTTGGAAACTGCAATGTTGTGCCTGTAACCTCTGCTAGGCACTCTACCCTTAAAAGAGTGAACAAAGTAAAAAAGTGAATGTTGTATCTGACAAAACTGTCATACATAAAAACACGTTTCTGGGGTAATAAATCTCTGTACAATCGTTTATGTTCAGAGACTCGTACCGTGACTTCCGACGAAAATGCCACTGGCCTTCGCTTTAGTCACATGATTGCTTATGTCAGCCAATGGCAGTGAGGGAGCCCTGCTGTGGCAGTGACACCATTGTAATCATTGCAATGGCTACCAAAGTTTGAGATGTACAATGTCAATGATATCGGCTAAGTTTGGCGGGCAATGGCTCACCAGCCAGATTTGGAGGATTTGGCAGGTCACTGCAACACCTTTTGGTAATGTGACACTTAAAAGTAAATAGCAGCGCTCCCCTATAACCTCTCCTACGCTAATTAAGAGGTGCCCGAAGAATAGCAAAACCAATCGTGCGCAGCGAGTGAGCAAGTGGGGAAAGGAATGAAGAGTGAGTGGCGATGCGGTGAGCACATTGCATGCTTCAGCTCGATGAGAGGAGCATCGGGTGCCTTGTCAATGACAAGGGGCAGGCTCCTGCACAACCTTCTTGTTTGGTGCTTCCATACGACACGGTCGGTGGGCTGCTTTGCTGTGCGGTGGTGATGACAGATGGCACAGACTCAAAATGGGATGCTTCACAAACGTTTGTGCACGGCATTGGAGAAAATCTTCATTTAAGTAGTAGTCTTTGTCCCAAACGCCCCCCGACCTTACAAACCGCAGTCGCAGCATTCAGAGAGAATGGTTGGCTTTTCGCTGACCTTGCGGGTGGGTTTTGTTTTATATGTTACGAGATCTTTCAGTGTATTTTGGGTGGAGGTTAACTTGCTTCCAGTTATGAGCAAAATAAAGCTTTGTTCTGTTGTCTATTCCTTCTCTCTTGCTACCAACCTCTTTTGACCTTATAGGCTGCAGTCGTGACATTCTTGGAGATTGAGTGTTCGCTCACCTTGTGATCTGTGGATAAAATACCACTTATTGTAGTGACTTTTAGTGTAGAATCGCATTCTCACAAAAGCAAATTCGGATTTTCTGTCATCTGAAGTGTGCCTTCGAAGGGATGTGGAGGGCAGTAGATTTGGCCGCCCCGAACACCTGCACCACCCATGAACTGTGCACGTTTACACATGTTGCGTGTCAATATGCCACGAGTCCGGTGGCAATCGAACGTTTCATCTACAGGTCGTTTTGTCAACCCTGCGACATTTCAGCGGCAGTTTGTTTCATTAACAGGTTCCCGCATTCGTTTCATTGACACACCTTGTGACCGCAGTCGCTGGCATTGTGTTTTGCATTTTGGCAAAATTTTTTATAGCAAAACGTTTTTTTTGTTACCTGTATCATATTCTTTTCGCACGGATAAACTATGTATGACTTTGAGGTCGCTCGCGGAGGGAATACATAAACAAAGAGAAGTGTCTTTCTCTCCTTCGTTTTACTTTGTCAGGGACATCCTGTGACTGTAAGGTCCACAGTCTGCAGCTGCGTTATTCAAGTAGGATGAACGTTCGCAGAGCGGATCGGATCGCGGAGTCAGCGTTAGGGTATTTGAAGGGGTGGGTGATGACTCTGTGTTTTTTGGAAATCGATATTGGCCCAGAAAGTGGGGTGGGCGATGACTCGGGATATTACGTATTTCCGCATGTATTTTATTTACGGTGGCGGTTCAGGTTCAAAGAGAAAGATATTGCATTCACATGCATCATTTACAAAAGAAAACACGTCTTCACTGCATTCTCACACTTCCCAGGGCTGATGCCCACTTATTCGAGCAAGGCCTGCCCGGACCAGCAACACGTGTTGAGGGCAAACATTCGCCATGTATTTTTCCTACACTATGAAATGGAGCATAAAAGAACAGGATGGCACACTCTGATCACCCGTAAAATAATTTATTTTTGCCAGGAGCAAAAACAAACTGTTTCATCCCAAGCCCCTTCCAGAAAGCGGGCAGTTATAAAAGCGTTTTGTATGGAAAGGCCTTCTAATACCATACCATAGCAAACTAGAAATATTTTTCTTTATTTTAAAGGAAGCACAGCAATAAAAGTACAAAAACAAAAACTGTGCTTGAAACTAAACAAAAACAACAAAAAACTCCTTTTAACAAAAAAAAAATATGCTGCTCACAAAGACGCATGCCAGTCAGGCCTGTCTGTATTTCCTTTTCCGCTGCTTCTGCTAATCAAACGTCCTAGATTTGATGTATCCAAGAAGCTAATTGCTTCATGATGTCGTGGAAACCTTCAACGTGCATGTGACGATTTGTTTCAGCACGGAGCAGCCAAAGGGCAGGCACTGTATGCTAGTGGGAAGTTGCAGCCAACTCCACCCTCCCCCCACCCCCCACCCACCCCCCAACCCCCCCCACCCACCCCCCAACCCCCCAACCGTCTTCCTGGTAGGACACAGAACTGCAATGTTTATGCTTCCACAGCAGGCCCTTCTTCTAAAGGTGCTGAGGTGCGGCCATGGGTGCCTTGCTAGCAGTTTCTCCACTGCCACCTGAAAATAGGGTGTGGTAACCAAATTACTGCTGTTTCCGTTGCCTACATTTAAAATGGCCCTTTGAGCTTGCACATAAATTATTGCCAGTAGGTTTTAGCTTCTGTAAACTTATTTCATTGTCCACGTGCACACTGGTTGCTGAACACAGGCAAGCAAAACATTTTGGTAGCAAAGAAAAGTGAGCACTCTGGAAGCCTAAAGGGCATATAAACCTGAAGGTGGGCGTGAGTTGGCACATAAACTAAAGCTTTGGTTAGAATGGGCCAGAAAGTTGATGTTGCTTGTTTTTCTCCAATTTCTATTGCAATGCTACTAGTGTATGGATAGAACAACCAATGCACTCTGTATAGAAAAAAAAGCAGAAAATTAGTCCCTTCAAAGGGTAACTCTGCTCAAGGTTCAAACAGAAATAAATGACTACTATTCTGTGCTCAATAGGACATATGTGGCGGTATCCAATGCTTTCCGAAACATTGTCAAAGTGACGCTGGGATCCCTACCAAGACTGGTATTAAAGACGCTCCACTCATTTTCAAACCTACCTAGCCCTTGCTCCATATGTCCATTTCTTTTTGTAATTATCTTTTTGAGCTTAATCTGGGCATTCCAGGCCTATCTCGCTCGAGCCAAAATAAATGAAATTAAACAAAATGAAACATTGAGCAATGTTTCATCATTCTGAGCCGTAATTACTGAATAAGTGTGTAGTAGTCTCCATAAACGCCATTTGAGGCAAACAAAGAACTTGGGCCGAAATATGCTATGTACAGGGAGAAGAACATATCATCACAAAGTCCGTGTCCCATATTGCCATTCTAACGTTTATTAGGACTCTTTCATTCCCAGAACTTCCAAAGACTGAAACCTCTTACCGCATCGCTCGCATCAATTAATGACCACACACTTTTTTTGTACATCTATTGCCAATTTCATGTTTCCTATTCTTTAAGTATTGTATAATATGTTCCATTTGTATTATTATTACTATTGTTCCTACTCCCCTCTGTAATGCCATATGCCCTGAGGGTAAAATAAATAAATAAATAAATATCCTTAAGGGGAGACACGGCCTCGGAATTAAAAGTTTTTAGAACAAAATGTGTTTTTTTTTTCAAAAATGGTAGGTTTATGTTTATTAACTTCCAAAGAATGGTTTCAGAAACTTTCATTTATAAACATGCAGGATTTATCTCACAATAAATTATTTTTGACATGTCGGCAGCCCTCTGAGTCAGCAGGGAGCAAGTTTTTTGCCTTCTTTACTTAGCGTTGCTTCATGCTCATTTAACATAGTCAGAACATCTCGCCCCCATTGGAAGTGCCATTTACTCTAGATTTAGCCTGTTGAAGTTTAAAAGTATCAATGGCCAGGAGGACCCAATACATCCAAACAGAAAAAATTCTGAAAATTTGGTATGAGCAATTTTATTGGTTGAAACCTAAACAGGGTTTATGATTGGTCCTTCTTGGTGACGTGACATTGTGTCATCTTCAGTAACACCCATTTACAGCATCTTCCACTTCAGATCCTATTCCTGCTTTGCTGCTCTTCCTTAGTGTGATTTGCCTCTTAGTTCTTGCCAGTTTATCTGCCAAGAAATGCCTGCTACAAAAGCTAGCATGACTACAAACAACACGAACCGGTAGCTACTGCCAGGGGAACAAGGAAGACTCAAAGAGGAAGGTGCTAACAATGCACCAGCTGAATTTTGCCTATTTCGGACTCACAGAAAAGAAAGAAACCTAAAGTTGAAACTTCAAATGCATTTTTCTCAGTTTCACTTTTTGGCAGGAAATGTGGTATGAGGAAATGCATCATTGGACATTTTGAAAGTGTGAAGATTTCATTCCGTGGTGTCCTTGGCTGAAATTTCCTGAGAAACAAGTTAAGGTACTCATAATCTGAAAAAGCTAAATTCTTCATAACAAAAACTGAATATTTTAAAGTGCAGATATTTGTTAAATCGTTTGCTCTTTTTGGGTGCTATTGTTTTTCTCTAGAATTGCATTTTCTCCAATTAATTTTACCTTAACTTGCACTATAGATATTCTACTTGACACAAAACCAAACATTCTGTATATTGCAATTATTTTTTTTTAATATTTTTCCTAATAAAGTAACTTTTTTTCGGGAGCTTGTTGAGCATAGTATGTTGTAGAATTGGCCTATAAGACTAAAACTTTAGATGTCATCAATCCTAATGGGGTTTAATCCACCCTGAAAGTTTGAATCAATTTCAGACAATGGTTCAAAAGTTGACCCTCCCAGGCTATGTCCCCCCTTAAGACAAATTGCACGGAAGCCAACTTTAGTCACGCTTTGCAGGAGCAGCACTTGTCTAAGTTGGTAAGCTTGTCCAAAGAGGACATATTCTGGGCAATAAAGGTATGCCCCAGCTTCTTCCAATTGTCGGATGGCAACTATTAAACCTAGATTTTTCGGTTAAAACCAATTTCATACCGTTGCTTAAGAGGGTGAGTTAGAGCCTGCCTGTAACAAAGGAAAATAGGCCATTGTCTTCAGCGACGGCCAAATGAACTCCCTTAAAAGCAGTACTTACACGAGGGAGAAATCAGCAGATTTCTGCACAAAGTGCGCATCATGTGACAAAAATGTCATGCTTTTTGCAATACACCACGATAATGTCAGCTCTGTGGTGGAAAGAATGCTAGAATGGTACAAATAATCCTGGTTTGACGGTGGATCAGTTAGTTTTCAACAATATTTTGTCATTAAAAGCTTTGGTGTCAAATGAAGCACTGTTAAGGGGGGACACTGGCTAGAGCTCAAACTTTTTAACTACTCAAGTGATTGGAATGAAATTTGCAGGGGAGATTTAGCTTCAGATGTAGGTGTACCGTGCTAACTTTCAGCTCTCTAGGACAAATTTACATACCTGCATAACATGATGTGTCGCTTTTCATTAAGAAATCTATGATATGCAAATCAAGCTATTAAGCATCATTTTGACTGCTTGAATATAAAGTGGGGGATATGGGACCTTGGGCTATCTAGTTTTAATAACTTAAATGTAAATATTTCAGGAAGAGTTATTACCTCAAACTATGAGATGCATATCTGTCCTCTGTCAATTTTTGAAAACTTGGTTTTTTATCACTGAGGACTTCAACCTAAAACAAAATAAAGTAGATAGCCCGATTCCTGAGTAAATTTCAGTTCAGAAACATCTTGATTGTGGTATCAGAATACTTTCACCTTCGAACAAAAGATTCCTTCATATGAAATTTGCAGCAAAAAGTGGAACTGAGAAAAATACATTCAAACATTGAACTCCTTTACTTTGTTACTGCCTCACAATGTGTTGAAAATATTTTATATCAACGTAACTATTTGGCATATGGTTATCAAATTTGGTGTAAGGGTGTATAATTAGTTTCTAAAACTGAAAACCTCAAAATTAAAAAATGAATGTTTCCAAAAAAATTTAAAATTTAGGCCCATGTCCCCCCTTAAACTTGTCTGCTGGGGGAAAGGGTGGAAACTGTTCAACTCTACTGCTAGTGCTGACATTCTTTCAACCAGCACCTCATCTGCGTGGACAACAAAGCTGAGGAGGGTGTTGTGACCACTGGTGACATCTCGCACATGCCTCTGCAGGTTTCTCCTTAGTGTGAATAGCGCTTAAATGGTACAGCACAAAAACTGGTTCTGCAAGGTATGACCTCACACAAGGATGCGTCTAAGTGGTGTGTTAATTTTGAGAATTTGTCAAAAGCGAAAAAAAAAAAAAAAAAAGAGAAAAAAAAACATTTGTTTGAACAAAAGTTGCAGTGAAAACTAAGTTTCCCACAGATCGATACAGAGTTAAGCGTTTGTCTTGTCAAAAGGCATTAGGTTTAATAAAAGCGAGGAAAGGAGGAAAGACAACAATTTTGACGTCGACCCCATCACGTTTTGTCAAACCAAACGCCATATTGGCCCACAGCGATGTGTTTGATCTCTTTGACATGATATACCTAGCTCGTGGGAAAAAAAAAACTGCTTTGCTCGAAACTTTTAAATGAGGCGAATTCCTCCCACTATTGAAGATTTTCATCACGTTTTCAAACCTACTTTCACGGCTTCCGTCTCTAAACCACCAGGTGCCGTGAATATCTAATGCGCTCTAGAAGGCGAACAAACGAACCTGCTGCCACAGTTTTCCGTTTTAGCCGCTAGGTGCCGTCGATTTCGGAAAGGTCGCCAATATTAAAAGACAAAAATTAACTCGCCACCCAGCTACACCTTTATGGCGCATTTGGGTGTCGTACCTTAGGAAACGGTTTTTCTTGCGATTTGTCCAAAGTACTGCATAGCCCCCGCCGAATGAAAAAGCCGACTAAATTTTGCCGCCTGCCAGACTGGGTCGCGAGCGTCAAAGGCGGCGTGCACGCTCGACACAAGACCATCGGCGGCTGCCACCAGTCCCTCACCTGCAGCTTCACTGGACAGACTGGCCAGAGCATCGGGAGGAAGGCTGGCGCTCACTGTGATGGGGGGCATTCCTGGAAGACTGATGGGCGTCGTCAGGGGCACCAGGCCTGCCTGGCCTGCACACAGACACCTGGCGCTGTACCCACGCGACAAGCGAGCCGTACAACGACAGGGACGCTTCCCCAACGACCGAGGATAAGTCAAAAGGACTCTCGAAACAAAGAAATGATTTCGACGGAACATTGTTGCAGGTCTCGGCAGACGTCGAGTACCAATGAAAAGCGACGAAGAGTGATTTAATTACCTAAAATCCACAAATTACCTTTTTAAATGTTCGCCTTATCTAGAAAATGCCATTTAAAGATTTGTCGCCCGTTGCCCAACTGTGCCATAGCCATCGTTAGAATTCATACTACTAAATTCTGATCCGCGTTATCCAATAGCGAAGTTAAGCTGTCTAGAGACCACCGACAAAGACTAAGGAAGAAAAGGTGCCGAAAGTCAAGTGCCCAAGGACACTGTGGAGCGTGGTGTGCTTTTTCTACGACCACGTGACGTTTATAATCAGACGTTTTCGGCGTGTTGGTGTTCAGTAGACGACAAAAGGCACGCTAGGTTGGCTACAGTCAGAAATTCCACCCCTCTATAGTCATACTTGTTCGACGCACTGTCACATGATGTCCAGGGAGCATGCGCAGTGTTCCGCGACAAGCGAGCTGACTGTTGTCAACTTCGTGATGATGTGCCTGCATCGCCTTGGTGCCGGTCGAGACACAGCGCACAATAGATTTTGGTCTGGCAGCTCGATGTGGCCAACACAGAACTAGAGAATGTACTACCTTCGTGTCAGCGCAATCAGAGTGCTTCGAACAGCTCCGATTGCGCCGACTATGTTGCAACACCGGAATGCACAGGGCTTGGTTTTCGACGACATGACTATAAATGAGCCTTCAGGACTCTGTCAGATTATTTTTCAATGATTTGCTACCCATGCCTGTGGAAGGGGCACACGCCGCTTCTGGGTGGGACTTCTGTAGCTCTTTTCGTTCTAGTTTCAGCATCTCGCTCTCTTCACGGCTTAAAGGGGCCCTGCAAGAACTTTTTGACTGGTTTTTAATTTGCACCGAACCTGAGCGCACTGAACGTAGTAACTTAAAGAAACTTTTCTTTTCTCAAATTTCGCTTTATTTTAAAAGTCATAGGCAAATTAGAATTACAAAAACAAGCAAAAAATAACCTCCTTCATGACGTCGTAGGTCCTCGTTTGAGTGGCCGTGAACTAGAGGAGGAGTAGTGAGCTCATCAAGCGCTCACGGCTGCCGCACTCCGTGTCGACGGCTCGAGAGGGCGCCACTAAAGCACGTGTTGGATAGGCTGTATGAAGCGGGCGGCCAGGGCGGCTCGCATTGCTTTTGCTGGGCGATTAAAGACTAATTCGGCATAACACTTCATTGGCCACAAACGACAGCAAACACGGGGTAAATATCAGTTCAGAACGGGAGCCCCTTCGCGCTGCTATACCGCCAAATGGCCAAATCGCCAGCCAAGCCAGCGTTGAAAGCCTTCGGAACACTCGGAACTGGTCGGATCCTCGAGCCGGTATATGACCACAGCGCCGCCGCGTACATCCGGGACCTTTCTACGCTTGCCGTTCATTGGCGCCTCATCCCACGAGTCCTTTCTAATATGTGCCGTTTTTTCCGCCGCTTGGTGGCGAATGTGTCGACGGGTTGCTCTTTTTCCGTACTTTATAAAACTGTTTCTGTTTCTTTTCTAATCTAAAATACTGAACAAAAACTACTTTCATACATAATTGAAACAATTCACGACACTTATATTTTGTATCTCGACTAGAAAAAAAGATTTTCGCTGCTCTGACCAGTAGTAAGCCCAGGACCAAAGACGCTTTCGGCAATGCGGGTCGCCCTCGTAGGTGGAGGAGGTTTCCGCGTCGTCCGGTTAAAATATGACTCACTGATATTTAGTTACTCTCTCCGCGCCCGCTGGCTTGCCCGAACCCCAAGAGACATGGAAACCGCAAAAAAGGTATACGCTTAAATATGATCGCAGGGCCCCTTTAAGTTCACCCTAAAATACAATGTTGGTGAAAGCGTGAGCTCGTTACGTAGAGGTGCCGAGTTTTCAGGCTCATTTTATGGCGAGCCCCTCGATCTGCAACACCTAAGAGGCACGTCTACCCAGTGTGCCACCAAGCATCATCTCTTTCCAGTCGGAAACGTGTTCCCTTCATAACAGACTTTCTAGTTTTGTCGGAGCATAAAGCTGAGCACAATCTTCTTTCAAGACACTGCGCACAGTGGTAGCGTTTTCACGCCAGCATGACGCTTGTACGAACAGGCAACAAAGGAGCTGAAGGGTTTTTTCTGCGACAGTGCCACAACTCTGGGATGACAACCGCAGCAGGCACAAGACATGCCCGCGCAGCTGCTTTGGCCAGCGGCATTGCTCACCCGAGGGGTGCCCCGACGTACTGGACCAGTCCGGCTCGCCGCTGGGAGTGGGGGTGGCGGTGCTGGGAGTGGGAGTGGGAGCGGGAGCAGTACCGACAGGTGGCCGACTCTCACTGGCATTTGGAGCTCCCAGATCCACTGCATGGAAAAGAAAGCATAATATATACAGGGTGTTTTCTTTAGGCTCTACTAATTTGTTTAAAAAGAGCCACGAAAGTTACCAGGGTGTCTAGCAAATTATTATTTTGAAATTCCCCGACTTTTCTATGTTTTCCCTGACAATTTCAGGTGAAATTCCCTGACCACTGCAGAGGTGGTTAAATATATAAGACAAAGCATTTTTTATTTATAGAGCACAATTATAATTAGCAAAATTAGGGTACCTGACTAGAGTGTCTCATATTGCACAAAGTTAATGCAAACTATGAAATGCACACCAGCAAGGCTTAATAGCAGCTTATTCCATTTAAAGACGGAATACAATGGCAGATGGTATATCCTATCTTGTCCTTCCCTAACAGAAGTTTTGTAGTGACTTCACACGCGGAAGACATGAGCGGGAAGAGTGAGGCCGACGCTGGCTGTAGAACAAGGGGATCCGTGAATCGCTACCGAATCAAAGCTCCAAATTATCTCGGCCTTTGTCACAGCGCTCTTCAGTAGAAAGCCGCTCATCGACGTCTCCACACTTGTTGTGGTGGCTGCAAGCTCCTAAGGGGGAACATGTGCGGTCTCCGCTACATCCGGCCGAAATGCAAATGACAGAAGTCCAGATTAAGAACAGCTTGACTGAGACTTCAAAGCAGCAAGGTGCTTTTTGCTCGATGCGCAACTGGAAACTGTCATGCTACCCATGTTGCTGAAAGAAAACGTCTTGTGGCACATTGAGCACTGTGAGGATCATTTTGCACGGGCTTAATCCAACTTGCATATTCCGAAATATTCGGGTTTGTCCAGTCCGGATTCAACGAGCACTTTTTTGCCGCTGACATCGTCAGTGAAGAGGCCACTTCCGGCCATTTCGAGCTCTAAAACATCCAAGTTTTAATCTTTACCTCACGGTTAGTGTAAGTTGTTGTTTCCACTGAAGGACTTGTTTCTCACCTGTCATTGAAGCCTACCTATTACCGCCTCCAAGTGAGGTTTTCATATACATAGAAAAGCGCAAAAACAATAGTACTTGCATAGTTTAAAACTTTCCCACTGTGAAAGCGGTCTTTGTTGGTTTTAATATGAACCCGTGTTCGATGACACTTGGGGAACGCTTAATCTTGGCCGAAATCGGCAGCGGCTGACCGACAAGCTATTTAAAGAGTTACTTCTCATGAAATGTAGTAGAGTAGTAGCAAAACTGTATGGTTACTTTTGTTTTGTATTGCTTCCATATGACAAGATTTATTTCTGTTTTACAAATAGTAACTTCTTTTCCAGTAATTCAAGAGTTCACATTACAAAAAGCTTTTTTAAGAAAAATGTATGTGAGTGTTACTGCCCCTGCAATACATATTCCTGTCTTTGTATTTCCAAATATTTTATATTTTTCAAATGTATTTCTGTTATGTTTCGCTATACTTTTGTATGGATGTATTTCAGTAATTGTATTTTATCTACGTCATGTATCTACGTCATGTATCCTAGTATTTGTATTCCAAAAAACATTTTAGAGAATCTCTGCCCAACCTTGACCCAATGTACAGTCACAGCGATAGCTGTGACAGGTCACGGCAAAGTCATTGGGCGTCGGCGTCACGCTGACGCAACGTATGGTGCATGAACCAAAGCGTTCAGAACAAAATACATATCTGACCATTTTGTTCTTAACGCTTTTTGATTCTTTTTTTTTTCCGGAGCACGTGAATGCGCGTGTCAGTGGGCGTCGGGTGCATGAAGTGCTACAACGGCATTTTGTTATCGGCTATTTCTCTGCATTTGTCCAGAGAGCAAGTGCAGTGGGCATCGTGTACTACGAATTCCGAATGCTTTTGTTTCTTGTACCGGAACACGTGAAAGCGCGTCTCCCGGCACGAGCTCTTGGCTTTGACAGCGCTACGACGGCATTTTGTTATCGGCTATATTTTTGTTTCCAGAGGGCACATGCAGTGGGCATCAGGTACTACAATAACCCAAAGTATAGAGCGGGTTATTAACGCTGTGGCATAGCTCGGTGGTAACGTCTCCGCTTTCAGGTTCGATACCCGCGGGTGGCGGGCAATCATTTTGAAGGATGTTGCAATGCTGGCGAAGGATGCCCTACATCGCTAACTATAACAACGGACGTCATTTTTAGTGATGGGAAGAGCCCATAACAGCTATCACTGTTAAACACCCCGTGATTCTAAAACCAAAGTTATGCGGCTGGTGATGACAGATTCTAGTAAGCTGCAGCAAGTGCCGACGAACAATATCGGTCTCCAATTTTCAGCAAACAGTTTGCTCTGACCTTCGACACAGCTTCCCCAGAAAGCCAATCGGGTGGCAGAGTTCCTTGGCACCGAAGCAACCGAGCCACGAAATTGCCCCGCTCCCAGAAATTTTTCCCGCTGGTGGGAGCCGACAGGAAACCCTAAAGAAGCTTGATGCAATGCTTGGGAACAGACTCACCCGCCATGCAAGCCCCTTCACCGAGCACCGTGTGGGGCAACGTGGCTGTGGAGCTGCCCGCAACGCTGGGTGCCGTTAACTGGACCTGCGTTGGAAGGAGGTTCCCCCCTCAGACAAGTGTGGGACCACCCCGCCTCTCAGGGGCTCCACCCTCTCAGGTCTTCCAACCACCAAGAGCTGGGGTTCTGCTAGGCACCGTTTGTACGCTGGACGCCACATCTTTTACCAGCCTTCCCCTCACTGGTTTCCGAGTTGACCATTTAGAAGTGCCGACAAGCGTGGCACACCCAGTCATTTTCAAAATTTCGTATGGTTTTCTAAATTTACTATTTCCACATTGAAACGCGATGGACTAACACAGTGGTTCTCAAATGGGGGTACCTTTTGGGGTCCGTGAAGCCTTGTAACATCAGCAAACCCGGAAATAAAAGTTGTATTTTTTTTTTAAATTGAAAAGAAACGTTCAAATTTTTGGGCGAGTTTTCTCGTGCGTACGTGAATGAGACAAGTCTACTTCGCACTAGCCCTTACTTGTATTCATGTATAAAATCATTATCATCAATAATCTACACCTTTTCCTTCCCTTTCCCTCACCACAAACGGGGTCCTCCATCATCTCCACCGATCCACATGAGGTCCGCGAAACATCAATGTGTGAGAACCACTGGACTAACATATAAAATGATAAATAAGAAATCCTGGGACACGCTTGTAGAGCATGTTCTGTTTAGCATATTTTTTTTACTGCATTTATGTTGAAATCATGGAGAAATATGGCGCACTTAATCTTGAATGCACGGCAGATTAGGGGAAAATCCTGTTAATCTACCCAGATCCTAAACCCAGCACACTTTTCATATTTTTAAAATTTTTTTTTCCAATAGCGTGGAAGTTGGAGGGAGTCCAATTTGGCATCGCATAAATTAGACGGGGTGGGCAATGTTTCGGCATTTTTAACCCTTTGAGTGGTTAGCCAGAAAAACGAGACAAGTGATCTGCTGAGGGAAGTATGTTCATTCAGGATTTTACTATACTCCATTTCGCCTTACGATAGACCGCAGCAGATGCAACGAGTTATCCCAGACAGACCAGCGCTGTTAAAGTATCACGTGACCATGTGCTCTGCATGTCGCTGCACCCCTCCCAAAGGTCACATGACACCAGGGGCGGGCAAAATACTTTAAAAAATGCATTGAAATACAAATATTTCAGCAAAAACGTTCTTATAATTACAAATCTAATTACAATTTTTAGAGAAGTATTTAAATACAAGATACAAATACAACGAGAGTATGTGATCTTCAAATACTTATGCAAATACATTTTGTTCCCATAGTCTGACATACCTGTCTCAAATTCAACCCCAGGCAAAAAAAAAAAAAAAAAGGATTGTGCCCAATTAAAAGTGGAGTTTTCAATACAGAATCGATTGCCCAAAAACAAAAGTTGCACATCTAAAATATAACTTGTTTGTCATAACATAGGTGGTTACAACATCAGAAAAACAATTTATCACATGTGAACCTAATGGATCTTTTTTTCCAGTAAACTTCCGCACAAGCGTACACTCCCACTGTCGTCATTTTCGCAGGACACCGGGACGTGGTGCCCTGCGAAAATGGCGACAGCAACATTGTCAGGATCTATCTTCGCGCATATTTAGTCTATTTGGACGCTTCATTTTTTTAGTATCGGTAGTATGGGGTATAAGAAGCACTGGAAATTGATACAACGGCAGAATGCCAATGTGTTTTGGCGGGCGGAGGCATGTTGGGCTGCTCTTCTATTGTAGTTTGCAGAGAACTCCCCAGACAGCGCTTGTTACTCGAAAAAGGTCCATTTCAAAGGCTCAGTGAAGCAACAAAGCCTTTCAAAAGTGTCCTTAATGCAACATCTTGAAAAAAATTAAATCATTCAACCAGAAAGCAAGTAATTGAAACTATCCTGTTAATTCATTGTTCGTCTCTTCTTATTTTTTTTTTTTCGACATTTATTGCGCAGTGCAACCAGTTTTATGCTCTTTGCACATGACTCCAATCGTGACGAGTGACCAAAATCACATTTTGTTGCGAAGATCAGCGCCCGAATTTGTATTTGAGCAGTATTTGAAGAAATACTCCTTTTTCAGTAATTAAACACAATTGACAGATCTATTTTTAATATGTAATCAAATAAAAAAAAAAACTCGAAGCATTTTAAATATGTGTTTCAAATATTTGCATTTGAAATACTGGCCATCCCTGCGTGACACCCAGACGGCACTGGGTTGGCTTTGATGGCTCGTAATGTTCTCCGCGGTGAGGTAAAAAGAAGCACAGAAATTTTTCCACAAAGTCTCCATTCTTATCTCTCTCTTTTCTTTCCTTTATTTTTGTGGCATCGCCAACTAAGATGCCCAATTCCGGTCCTGAGGCTTTTGCAACAGTCCGTTCATCCTTGCGACTCTTTCTCCGGTGCAGGCTTCTGCCATGCTCAGTGGTTTGGTTCTCCCGGTCGTGCTAGTTCCATTTCGCAAGGAGTTGTCAGTTCCAAATCGTGCACCGCTTCACAGCACATGTCAAGCTTTACAGTTTTGGGGCAAGTGTGATAGGAGCAGAGGCTGGCACACGGCAGTACCTGGGTTAGCCCGACGGGCTGAGAAATTTTCTTTACTTGTGTAGGCTGACATCCCTTGGCAGTTATTATAGATCTACCCCCAATTCTAGATTCCATGTTCGCACGATTGTAACGCAGACTTTTTTTCGCCACAATCGGTATCCAAAACTACATGTGCGTTATAATCTAAACCAAAAACCGAAACTCCAATAAGGTGGTTACGCCCATTGCCATCGTCACAGAGATCAGATCAGTAGCATTCTAACGCACACTTTTCTTTGCCAAGATCGGTCTCTAAAACTACATGCGCGTTACAATCGAAACCAAAAACCAAAACTCCAATACTCAGTATAAGATGGCTAGTCCCATCGTCAACGTGACAGAGATCAGATCAGTAGCATTCTTGTATTCATGTTTGTATGTCAAATTTGAGTGTTTAGCGATAGTTTTGTCTTCAAACGTGGTGCGCTTGGTGTGCTCATGGGTGTGCAGGTATGCCGCTGCATGCCGGTGTGCCGGCAAGTGCATTGCTACTACCAACATGGAACTGTGTTTGAGTCTCATTCTTCAACGGGCATCGCCGGTCATTCGTAAAGGAGGTGTCAAGCATGATCAGCGAGTAAATGATCCCATAAGGTAGGAATACTTGAAAACTCGAACATGTCCGTTCGGGAAAAGGCAAAGAAAACCTGACAAGGGGACAAAACAAAGACAAATAAAAAACAGGTCACGAGTTTAGTGGAATGCCAAGGGTGTGGAAACTGGGCGGATATCGGGGAGACTTTGTTTAAATCCTGCAAGAAGGCGGGGAAAAGTACCGTACGAATGCCCGGAGTGCCTCGAGAATGAGGCGAGGAGACGTCTGCTGGAAGAGGAAGTCCAACGACACGTGGGAAACGTGATACTTGGGATGCGGAGGGAGATAGAGGAGGAAAGGGCGGAGAGAGTGGCCATGGAAAATAGGCTGTTGGCGAAGCTCCCAGAAGAGAGAACACAGCGAAGAGCAGTGGAGGAGAAACTGCAGGCAGCTGTGTACGAGGAAGTGGGCAAGAGGAAAAGGTTGGGGGAAGTGATAGGGCACTGGATAAACAGCCAACAGGAAGCACAGCCGGAGGGCGCCAGGACAACCGACGTTTAGACTCGAGTGGAGGTAGCGGACGGGGACAACGGTCAGGAGACACAATGCACGGACAGCGCAGAAAAAAAAAAAAAGGTGTCTCCAGATCCAGAAGAACAAAACGATCCAGGGAGAGAGAGTGCACTAGCAACATTGCAACAGGGACAGACAAGGGAAGGGCAAGCGCAGAGTGACCAAGAAGGAATGACAGAGCAACTCATGGGAGGCAACAAGACACAGACTCGAATGACCAACTGAGAAGACCAGAAGAAGGCAGAATGGTGGACAGACGACTTCTGGTGGTAGGAGATACAAATGCCTTCCAGATGAAAAGAGCTACATTCAAAGCAGGTTTGCGACCAAAACAGATACAATCTAGGGAGAGACATTGACGAAGGCAGAGAACGGTCAGAAAATATGGTTATAGTCTGTTGCAACTCAAGAAGATAGGGCGAGGGTAAGACGGGCCGGGGAAGAGGAAGCAGACGGAACGCTAAAGAGAGAAGGAGGTTTCCAGTGTTCAGTCTGCTTCCTCCTCCCCGGCCCGTCTTACCCTCACCCTACCTCCTAGAGTTGCAACGGACTATAGCAGAGAATGGGTTGCTGGTCATGCATGCAGGAGTGATGGACATACAAGGAGAGGAATCAGTGAAAGAAGGAGCAGCGGCACTGAGAAGATGGCTAAAAGACTAGACACACAGAGCCCCACACCACCACTTTGTAGTGTATGTGGTGCCAGAAATTAAGGACAAGGGGGAGGCACTTAGAGGGAAGTGCACTCGGTGGAATAGGAAGGCAAAGGAGATATGCCAACATCTGGGACCGAGAGTGGCACTGGAAGAGGACAGTGGAGGTGCAGATGGAGACACACAAGACAGCCACTACGGCTTGGAGAGGACAGTGGAGAAGGGGCAGACACTAGCTACCCGAATTCAGAATTTTTTTGGCCAGACAAACAAAGGAAAGAAGAGGCGATGCTGGACAGACTCGAGGAGCGCCTTCAGAGGATGAGCCATCTGCGGGGGCACGTACGTCCTGCAGAGATAGGGCCCCAAAACGAGAAGGGACCTTATCAACGGTGGTAGAACGGAAACGGGAAATTGGAGGGAGGGGGGGGGATACCGGTAGAACAGTAGACCACACTAAGAAACAGAAGGGCAAACTGACCAAGAGATAGAGGAAAACGGGAAAAAGAGGGATAACAAAACAAAAATTGCTTTCCCGAATATGGGGGGGGGGGCAAGAACAAGCAGGAAATGGGAATAACTATATAAAACGATAGACAAAGAGGGCATTTCAGTAATAGGGGTTGGGGAAATACATCTACGGGACAAGGAATGTCCCCCGAGAAATGAAGATATGGTGTTGGGAAG